GCAGTAGTTTGTTTTTGTTTGAAGTACTGGGGATTGAATCCAGGGCCTTGGCATTAAGCTATATTCCCCAGCCCTTTTTTATTTTTTATTTTGAGACAGGTTCTCACTATGTCCTGGAGTTGCCCAGGCTGGCTTGAACTTGTGATTTTTCTGCTTCAACCTCCCAGGGTGCTGGGGTTACAAGCATGCATCACCATGCCTGACTTGTTTTTAGTTTGTTTTGTTGTTTTGTTTTTTTGGCAGTACAGCATTGAACCTAAGAATTCACTCATGCTAGGCAAGTTCGGTACCTCTGAGATACTTCTAGCCTTCAATTGTGTTTTGTTTTATTTTTTTTTTGAATAATTATAATCCTCAGATCTGTCTACCAGCTTCCTCAGCTGGAAGGATTAGGGGCATCCTTTCTTTTCAAGGCCTCTAGAGCCCAGTGCACCTGGTTGGCTACATGAAGGACTGTTCAGGAAATCTCAGATCTCTGGACAGAATTTCAAGAGAGATGAGTGTCTGGAAAAGGGTTTAGAACATAGGGAAAAGGCCTGTATGGTATATAGGGTTCCTGGGGGTTTATCCTTTCTGCTCAGTGCTGTTTATCTGCATCTTCAGGTCAGGCCTCCTCTATGCAGGGTGACTTGGCTGAGGACTCCAGAGCTGGGCAGAGAAGTCTGCCAAATCCTTTCATCTACCAGGACTCTTTGAAGGGGTGAAAATGCCTGTGGATAGGGGGAACCAGCAGATGTAACTTACTTTCATTTGCAAAAAGCTTTTGACAAGGTCCCACAATAAATGCTATTAAAATGAAGAAAATGAGTCATGGTGAGGGCTGGAGGCTTTGTCATGGATGCAAGACCCAGCTTGAGGAAGGATACAAAAGGTGCAAATAAAAGGACAGTTTCTGGGTGGAAAAAAATAATGGGGGTGGGGGGTCCTCTGGACCCCAAGTTGGGGCTCAGCTCCTTTAACATTAGCATGAAATCCAAAGACAAGGGTCCCCTTGGTGAGACCTCCAGGTTTAGAGATGTTTCCAGAGTCAGGATGCTTTAAAAGATCTCAAGAAGTTGTGTGACAGGTTTAGTAGGGTATGTTTGTGGGCATAAATAATTTGAAATACTCTTACAGAATGGTTATCAATTTAGATTTGAAAAAAATTATTTTGAGAGACAACACAAACTGTTTCCTTAAGGGCCAGGGATTTAGCTCCGTGAGTTCAATCCCCCAGTACCAAAAAAAACAAAACCAACCCCCCCCCAAAAAAATTTCCTTAACAGTATTCTTCTACAAAGATACTATTGGAATTTGGCATGAGAATATTATTCCAAGAACAGAATGGTCCTACCCACCCCTGGAACATTTAACATCTCTAACTCCTGTCTTCTAAATGCCAGTATGTTCTCCTACTCACACATGAACATACACACACACACACACACACACACACACACACCTCCTCACATGTATCAGTTCCTCTTAGAAGAGCACCCCTAACCCATTTGGCTCCACTTGAAATTCAGTCAATGTGCTCCTAGATAGGAGGAAATAAATCTAAATACATTTTCAAAAGGAGAACTGGAAATAAAGCAAGATACATTTAGAATCTTCTGGGAAGTTCTAGGCATCACATCTCAGAATGCTGTAGAGGTAGAGAGGGCCCAGACAAGAGCAATTCCATGTGTGCTCATGCATAACACAGAGGAGGAAACAGAAAATGCCAGAAGGGAAGATGAATTTTAAACAAAGTGCTCTGATAGGAGCTAAGAAGGGTCCAGAAGAGCAAAGTAAAGGAAATGCAGAAGGGAACCTATTGGATATGGTTTGGGGTGTGTGTGTGTGTGTGTGTGTGTGTGTAGGGGGTTATTTCAGGCAGAAGGAACAGCACATGCAAAGGTCCTGAGTCAAAGCTTATGTAAGGGACAGAAAGGAGGCTAGCTGGATGATGGAGTTGGTGACATGGGGAGTGGAAGAGGTATAATAAAGGCAGAAACAGAGGGAGGAGCTAGGACATGCAGGCCCTTGAGGACTATGATAAGGAATTTGAACTTGTCAGAATCTATCCTGGCACCTCCAAAACCGTGGTTGCTTGCTCTGCTATGTAGTCTTTCTAATTAATGCACAAGCTTGAAGAACTGGGCCCTCTGAATCCTCAGTGTTTAATAGCCTGCCTAGAACAAAACAGGAGTGCATTACTAACTAATAAAGAACACAGAAGCAGGACAAGTCAAAGTGGTGACTAGCTCTGGTAAATAGAAAAATGGCCTCCCAAAGATATCCATGTCTTAATCCCTCTAATCAGTAAATGTTGCCTTATATGGAAAAAAAGGAGTCTTCACTGATGAAACTAAGTTAAGGGTCTTGAAATGGAGAGATCATCTTGGATTATTGGGATGGATTCTAAATGAAATCACAAGTGTCCTTATAAGAGAGAGGCAGAGAGAGCTCTTAAAAGATAAAAGAGGAGAAGGCTCTGTGAAAATAGGCAGAGACCACAATCCAGCCACAGGGAAAGAAATGCACAGCCACCAGCAAATGGAAAAGGCAGGGAATAGTCTCCCCTGCAGCCTCTATAGGAAGCAGAGCCATTTCCCTCTTTCTCTCTTTCTTTTTCTGAAACAGGGTTTCACCTTGTAGTTCATGCTGACCTTGAACTCACTATGTCACCCAGGCCAGCCTTAGACTTGTGGCCATCCTTCTGCCCTAGCCTCCAAAGTAGTCCTGAGATGACAGGCTTGTGCCACCACACCAAGCATGGTGATTTCGCGATGATTCTGATTTCAAACTTCTGGCTTTCAGAACCCTGAGAGAATAAATTTCTGTTGTTTTTAGCTAAGTCTGTGGGAATTTTATAACAGCCTCAGTGTGTTTGCCAGCTTTGCATCACTATAATGGAACACCTGAGAGCATCAACTTACAGAAATAAAGCATTCAACCCAACCTGGGCAACACCTGCTATGTTCCATTCTACTAACTTAGATGGGGAAAAAAATCATGATTTTTGATGGAAAAAATGTTTTTCATGAAAAAATGATTACATGAAAAGTTTCTATGGTTAAAGGGATAAGCTTTTGTTAACTGCAAAAATCAATTATGTGGAACAGCTTATTTTCCCCTTTTCCCCACATGTCAATAAAGTCAGGCATTACTGGTACCTCACACAGGGAGAAAATTTAGAGACTGAACTCCAAAACATGGTGCAGGATAAGAACAGACATGGACCACTGAGTCCAAACACTCTGGGCAAGTGAGTGGATTGTTCTACTGTAATAAGGTATCAAAGGAAGCTAAGATTTGGGAGTTAGGAAGGGCCATCTCCCCCACCCATGGATGCTGACATCAGGCAGGTGTTCCACCATGCCAGCCCCCAGAATGATACCAGAGACTTACACATAGCTTAGATGGATGTGACCTCACCCAGGAATCCACTTCCTAGCCTCTGGCCGAGCACCTGTGTTATGAGGTCTCCCATGGAGCTCCACGGGTGGTCAGCAGGCCCAAGAGACCCAAGAGGACTGTGTGGACTGTGCATTGGTCCTAATAGTTCCTTCGACTGACATATCTGTGACACTGGGCAAGTCATTCACCTCTCTCACGTCGACTTCCTTTTCTGAAATATGTGAACAGTATTTTCCCTTCCTTCTTTCTATAGTTATGAGGAGTAATGAATAAAAAAATCACATACAAAAGACCCTAAAGTATCCAGTCTCCTAAGCAATTTTTATTAAGTTATGTAGAACCAACAAAGCCAGCACTATTACCACTAAGCAGCACTAAGGGTGCAGCCATATTGAGAGGACAACAAACTGCCCTGGGCAACTAGAGATCATGAACAGAACAGGGATGACGGACACTTCAGAAATATTGGGCTTTGGTATTAATGAGCCACAAAAATATATTACTAATGAATCACAATTTAGACAGGGAGCCCGCTTACTAAATGTTAATAAAAAGTATCCACTTCAGCTGGGGCTCAGGCACATCACTTATGTGCGTAGTCATCATGGTAATCACAGCCCTAATGGCAGCTAACACTGAGCACTTTGCTAAATGTCACATCTCATTCTGGGACAGGATGTGCAGGGGCCTGGTGACAAAATGGTGGTGGCACAGCCACTGGCCTAGAAATTGTGAGCAGCTTTGCTTCTTAGAGAAGATGGGGAGGGGGAGGACACACTAGACCATGCCCCTTGAGTGCCTGCAACATCTTTCTTGCTCACTACTTTATCCCCAACACCTGACACAGCTTTGTAACTGTAGGCACTCAAGAAATATTGCTGAGTGGCTAGGGAAGAGCCCCAGGCATCTCATGTAAGGAAGACTGATTTTATTTTGGTGTCTGTGATCCTATTTGGGCACGCATTCAGTGGGTGTAATTCAGTTCTTCTCCATGAAACTTCCTTTTCCATTAATCCTTCACCTGAATAAAGAAAACTCCCATTATGGGTCTCGTTGGCCTTGCCCTAGAATTTGGCTGGTCCTCAGCCTTATCAAATTCCCATAATCTGTGATATGCACACACATAACCCACATCTTCTGGCTGAAGAGTGGGAGTCGGGTTTTTCAAGGGGAGACAAGCCCTCCAAGCACTGGGTGTCATCTCCCAGCACCCCAAGGGCTCAGGAGACCACGGCCTCCTGCCTGGGCCCCCTCAGCTAAGATCTGATTTTCTCATCATCTGGATAGTCTCAGCTACTCGCAGCAAAGGGATGAACCAAGCTGACCTTTCTGGAGGTTTGTTTAAAGCAGAACAATGTTTGTCTTGTCCAAACACTATGAATTACTCCAGAGGATCCTGCCCAGTTTTACAATCCACAGCTACAAATGGCTTACATAAATAGGGGCTTGTCCCTTCCAGACCCCCCTCCAGTCCTCTTGGTTTCTCAGCCCCCTGCCTGCTTTCTTCCCCTCTTCCAGACTTTCCCTCTGCCCCTACCCAACTCTTTTTCTTCTTTGCTCTGAGCCTCAGGGAGGTGAAGGGGCAGGTGCTGGGTATTCTGGGCCACAGATCGCACCTGGGTTATTGCTGGCACAGGCCCCTCTTTTGGCTGGCTGCTCCATGCCTGGCGTGGACAGGTTTGCCTTGCTAAGGGGGCCTCTGGGCACATTTGTTCTGTCTGTGTGGGGCCAGCGGTATGCAGTGTTAGGTCCAGCTGTGAAAGCATGTTGGTATGAGGAGGCCCCCTGTTTGTGGACTCAATGTCCAGCCAGCCCACAGCCCACTTAGACCACCTCATCTGGCAGAGCACTTAGCTCACCCACTGCTGCTCCCTCACAGGCCATACAATTGGCGAGATCTTGGGTATCTCCTAAGCTACACTGCACTCACTATAGCTGCCAGTCTGAGAAGGTGGCAGAAAAGACTGTTTTGCTTATTAAATAGGCACCATGGATATCAAGCAAGAACCATGGACCTGGAAGAAAGGAGATTGCTCTGCCATGAAATCCGGTCTAGTCCAAGTCCTCTGAGTAGCTGAGTGACACCAGCAATTCACTTCAGGTCTCAGTATCGCCACCTGCACAATGGCTCTAGAATCTCAGCATTGCCATCTGTTTAATGGCTCTAGCATCTCTGCAAGGCAGTTTTCAGGTCTCAGAAAGCACAGTTTAAGGAGTGCTAGACACTAGCAGCAAGGAGTGGGTGGAGACATCCTGAGAGAAACTATGGGTCACTAACACTCTGAGGGGAGGTGTTGGTGAAAACTTGGAGAGAGGCCAGGGGAGTGTGAGGGTGGGACTGGTAGTTGGAGGTGTGAGTAGTGTGTGGGATCTTCCTAAGGGGCCTCCTCCGGTACTTAGGGCCAAGTGTGATCTCATTTTATCCTTGTTTTGCAAATGAGGAAACTGAGCCTCAGCAGGGAGGAGTGACTTCCACTCAGAAGTTGGTGAGTGGCATGGGATTCCATCTTCCCTACACACCCTGGAACACTCATCTGGCTTTTCCAAGACTGCCTCTTGCTCAAGCAACTTTCCCTGCAATTCCACTCTCTCAAAGTGCCAAGATTTGGACTCAGAGCCGCACCTCTTTACCCTTCTCCCAACGGGAAGGTCATACTAGGCAGAAGGACCGAGGGCCAAATCTGCTCAGCGAGGTGGGCAGGTGCTGGGTCCCAAGTTCAAGAAAACCAAGTTCCAAGAGTTTCTCTCTGGACAGAGCTGAGCCAACCCTGCCTGCTGAGAGGCTCCACAGCGGCAGGAGCTCTGATGGGTGCTAATACCCTACCACAAGAGCCGGCTCCACTAGAGAGCCAGAGGCGCAGCCAGCGAAAGGCATCTGCATTCAGATCCCGCAGGCCTTGTGCGTCCAACTCTGGGGCCATCCCAGGCCGAGAAGCTGTCAAAGGATAAAGCCAGCATCACCTGAGAGCTAATGCTCCCCGGGGTTGGAAGAACTGTGGTCCAGGATGGGAAGGAAAGCTAAAAAGGCACCGGCGTCACCTCCCAGGCCCTTGGGCACAGGGTCTGGGAGCTTAAAGAACTCAGAAGAAAGGTCTGGTGCTGATCGGGTGCATGAGCCGGGTCCTGCTTCTACCACATATGTTGTGCGGTACATTCCATCCACAGCGTGGAAGGCGCAGAACTCGCCGTGTGACCTCAGGAGCGCTAGCGACTGGCTCTGGGTCTTTTACGAGCCACCTGGTCTGGACGGGCACCGGAGCTCCCGCTCCAACATCCGCGCCTTAGATTAGCTGCGCCTCCTTCGAGTTCAGCATTTGATTTTCTAATCAATCTCTTTGTCGTCACCCTCCGCCCCCCATGGCCTTAACCCGAGCTTCCTGTTTCCCGGTCCCCCTCGGCCCCGCCTGGGTCCCGTTGTCGCCCGACTTTCCCGTCGAAGGCCCTCGAGTGAGTGATTCCCGGCGCGGGCGGAGGCCAGCGGGTCCGCGGCGCGGGCCGGGCTGTATGGAAATGGCCAGAGGAGCGGGCGGGCGAGGCGGCGATTTATTCTGGGAGTGACAGCCCCTTTGAGCGCTCGGCGAATGGCATTTTCTGTCTGTGAAAGCCTTTCTTCCCACCTCTGTTCAGATTAGCCCGGGGGATGAATGCGCCCATTATCCAGCCCGCTGACCATTCTGAAACGCCAAATTAATTACTAAGCACTGAATCAGATGCTGGGGCCGAGGCACTGGGAGGTGTGAAAATAGCGAGCGGCTGGAGCCGGGGAAAGCGAGGGGCGCAGCGCCGAGAGG